CCCCAAAACCCCAAAACCCCAAAACCCCAATAAACACGAGCTTAATTGAAACCCTGAAATATATTAAAAGTAACCAAGTGTCAAATATGGAGAAAGCAGGATTTAAGCCAAAGAAGTAAAAATAAGAAATTTAGTCAAAATAAAAACCATGATCAATTATGTAAACTTCTCTAAGCTGGTTTTCTTCAAAGACTTGTTCAACTTTATTTTGGGTTACTCCGCAGTAAGAGACATCTACTTTTACAAGACTCAATCTTAAATCTGGAGAGCTTGCTAACCCTTGTACCAAGTTCTTGAACTCTTCAAAGTTGTTCTCCCAGTCACTTATATCCGATTTTCCTGATCCTTCTAAAACTATTTCCTGGATTTGGCAATTCTTCAGAGCCTTTAACAAATCAGGAACACTTGGGATAGATAGCCTGCAATATGTCAATCCCAAAGTTCTCACATGTCTGAAAGCTGCCACCAGCCTCTTGAGTTGGGGCAGGCCGATTCTGAAATGTCTAAAGTCAACTTTTCGAACGACTCTGGAGCTGAGTCCGGTCAGGGAGTTTAAGTAGTTGGACCTTTTCAAATCCCTTTGGCCACTGGATCAAAAACCGAGATCCTTAATTTTATTTGAGAATGAGGATTGTAAGAAATTTACAAAACGCCTATTTTTAGAAGCAAACCTATACAAAGAAAAGCAATTTATATCAAAAACCTTAAGACACTTCAAACTTTTCAAAAATTTGACATCTCTGATGTCGTCCAACTCAGTGTAAAGTTGATTGTATGCTGAAACTTCTTCGAAGTCTGTGTCAAATAGCACAACTTCTCCATCTGGATGAATCTTATAGAGGATGCTCTGAAATGTGGTTATCTCTTGCTTCTTGGTTTTTGCCAGGACAGACTTCTCTAGGCTGCACAATTAGAGGCGAACGGGGAGGTAGATCAGTGTTAGGATCCGTCAGAAAGTTGGAGATGAAAGGGTGCTAATTTAGATTTTGAGAACTCCCAGGTTTAAGTCTTTAGGAGAAATGTTATCTGTGGAGGTGCCAAATAAATCTAAGAGAGGCAAGGCTTATAAACTCTCTCTAGTTTTGCTATGAACTTCTCGGTCAAGAAATTTTCGATGAAATTATTATAAAAGTTGGAAAATGTTGGTTAAACTTTAAAGTTTTGGGACTTGTTACAAATTTGAGAGTGAAAATTTAAAGTATTCTAAAACTAAGCTCTCAATTACTTGATTATCGGGGTGTTCATTTTTTCAATAGCTGTAGCAAGACCTCCCATTTTATTATTATAAAAACTTAATTTAAAATTTTATTTTTCAATATATCTGCAGAGGAGTGGGGTTTTGGGGTTTTGGGGTTTTGGGG